CTATCCTTACCCTCAAGCTTGTCAACTGGGACTTTGCATTTCATTGGTATCAGAGACTCCCTTGGCTTGAGAACACTGTGGTCTTCTGTGGATCCACTCAGGTAGAGGCAGGGCTGCTCCTGCTGGGGACTGACAATGTGCTCCCTCTTGGGGTAAGAGGAGCACCTGGGAGGAATCATTCTGGGATATGAATACTGAGGCTCAGAAAGGCCATCCGTCCCCTAGATGCAGCTGAGTGGTAGGACCCACTGCTGAGGATTCCAGTGGCTGTTGGTCAGCAGTGACTTGCTGTGGTGAACCATGTAAATTTACATACTGGAGTCTAAAGATGCGTTTATTGTAAAAACTGTATATAGTATAAGTTACACAACCCCCTTCCCCCTGCCACCACCTCTGCTTTGTACTTATGATTAAATCTGTGCTTCTCTACAGTTTACAGGGGCTTTTGATTCTGGATATATAGACACCATCATTGATGCAGTACGGTAAGCTTTCTTTGGGCTGGTAGGTACATTGAGGACTGGGCTATTCCCATAATCCCCCAAGCACCCTGGCAACATCAGAGCCCTATATGAACAGCCCAATACCAGGAAATGGTGGTCAGCCTCACCCTGGCAGACTGCCCCACCTGTTATGATGCACTGGCCCATACTGGAAGGCTGTAACCTGGAGACATTTGATCACATGCACTCACAGTGCAGGAGACCACACTTGGGTAGTTTGTTTTGGCTCTGAAACAAGGAGTCACGACTGACCGACTCCTGCAGTGTGTCTTCACAGAAACCGAGAAGATAATGAAAGACGCCTATCATCTCTTCACTCATACTGGAGTGTGGGGAGTGGGGAAACAAGAACACCCCAACTGCACTCTTTACTATTGTGGGGACCACCGTGAGTCTTTTGTCCAGTGCTAGCAAGCATGTATAGAGCAATCAGTATCCAAGGACAGTGTGTGGCAGGTGCATTTAGAGATCCCCAGAGGCAAAGGATTCGCAAGAAGTTAGTGATTCATTCTTGCTTTCTCTAATGCATATTAACACCCAGTTCACAGGTCAAAGAGGGAAAGTTTTAAGGAAAAAAGAATTGTGGAGAAAAAGCTCATAGCTCATGGGTCCCTCCCTGGTTTTCTCCAAGAGGAAACCTAGGTCTGTTGCATAAGAAGTCTGCTTTTTATGTCAATGATAGTTGGAAATGATCATTCTAGATAAGAACTGAATGTAGAAAGCATTTAAAGGGATACACATGATAACCTACATTGTGAACCATAACGGCCAGAATGATGAGAGAGAGAGAGGTGAAAGAGGGAGATAAAAGAAGAAAAGTGCCTTCGAGGGCACTTTTAGGGGCAGAGGGCGGGGGGTGCGGGGTTGGGGTTTTGGCAAGACAGAAGTTGGGAACCAAGTGTTGGTAAATGTACATTGGTGAAGGGATGGGTATTGTAAAATTGTATGACTGAAATTCAACCATGAACAACTTTATAACTGTGTATCTCATAGTAATTCAATTTAAAAAAAAAATCATGTACTTTGGCATTCGAGCTACCTTTCTGCCCTGTATTAAGACTCTGTGATGTTACAAGCTTTTGTGTTTGGGTTACAATCACACAATGATCAAACACCCATCCCTCCACCAGTGCACATTCCCCACCAACAATATCCCCAGTATATCCCCCTTTCCCACTCTCCCTCTGCCTCCATGGCAGACAATATTCCCCATATTCTCTCTCTACTTGTGCGCATTATGGTTTGCAATACAGACACTGAGAGGTCATCATGTTTGGTCCATTATCTACTTTCGGTCCATTATCTATTATCCGCAACGAAGGAAGACAAAAATGATCGTCTGTACTTTCAATGCATGTATGCTGGCATCAGATGCATCCATTGAGGACCTGATGGTACAAGCGGGAAAGATCAAGTACGACATCATTGGTCTGGCCGAGACAAGAAGGCACCAATCTCATCATGCCGTTTTCGACACTGGAGAAGAATTGATCCTCGGAACATGCGATAAAAGAGGTGTCGGAGGCGTTGGTGTCCTTGTCAACACAAACTTGGCCATGAACATTGATTCATTTGAATGCCTAACAACCCGAATTGGACGTTTACATTTGAATAGATGTGGCTCACTGCCAGCAGTTTCTATCTTCGTTGTCTACGCACCAACATCCAATTATGATGAAGGAGAAATTGAGAAGTTCTACATGGAGCTGGAGAAGTTCTATAAAGAAGACCAGACCTTCTACAAGATCATTGTGAGTGATTTTAATGCCAAGATAGGACTGAGAAGATCAGCTGAAGAACTTCACATCGGGACCCATGGCCTTGAATGGAATGAACAGAATGAGAGACTGTCTGAGTTCATCATGTCGACCAAGACCATCCATGGTAACTCACAGTTCCAGAAGGCCGAATCTAAACATTGGACATGGGAGTCTCCCGGTGGACGATTCCACAATGAAATAGACCAAATCATATTCAATCTACGGTTTTGCCTGACCGATGTCGCTGTTGTCCCAAAATTCCAAACGGGATCGGACCACCGTCTCCTTTGTGAAAAATTCTACTTGATAGAGCTGGGAGAAAGGGCTGCAAAGTTTAAAAAGAGAACTCCCAGAAGGACCACCAACTGGGAGCTCTTTGGCACTATTGTGGCAACATGGGAAGATGCCATTGTTGATAACATTGACGAGGAATACGATCGACTGGTTCAGCACCTTCATGATTGTGCGAGGAACACCAAGAGAGAGATAGCCACAAAAAACCACCTGTCTTCGAAAACTCTTGAGCTTATTCACCAACGTGGTTTGGTGCATGCCTCAGGCAACCTCAAGCGAACGTCCAAGCTCGCAAAGCAGTGCAGAGATATGATCAAGGAAGACCTCAAAGAGAGAAGAGCAGAAGTGCTGGTAGATGCGGCAGAAGCTGGGAAAAGTATTCATAATGCCCGCCTGTCCTTCGCCAACTACAAGACAAAGATGACTGCCCTCCGATGTCCTGATGTATATATCACATCCTCCAGAACGGCAATGGAGAAGATTATCCATGACTTCTACTCAAATCTCTTCGATAGCCATGTCCACTTGCCGACATACCAAATTCCACAGGATGGATATGTCGTTCCTAATGTTCTCCCTTCCGAAATCCAACACGCCATTTCATCAGTAAAGAAACGAACAGCACCCGGCCCAGACAAGGTCAGACCTGAACACCTGAAGAACCTGCCGTCAGTACTCATCAATACAGTGGCTCGGCTCTTCACTCGCTACCTGTCTGAATGCAAGGTTCCGTCCCAATGGAAAACCAGCAGGACCATACTACTGTTCAAGAAGGGAGACATCCATGACATTGGCAACTATCGCCCGATCTGCCTATTGTCTGTCATCTACAAGTTGTTCACTCGAGTCATCCTAAATAGGATCGGCAGAACACTAGATGAAGGACAACCATGTGAGGAAGCCAGGTTCCGCGAAGGACTCAGCACCATCGACCATATCCACACGATAACCAAGCTCATTGAGGTTTCTCGGGAGTTCAAGATGCCGCTCTATCTAACGTTCATTGATTTAAAGAACGCCTTTGATTTTGTTGAGACGGAAGCAGTCATTGAAGCCCTAGCCAATCAGGGCATTCAAGCTCAATACATAAAGATCCTCTGTGAGCTGTATTGCGGATTCACTACCAGGATCTCACCATTCTACAAAGAGGTAATCGTCGATGTCCAGAGAGGGGTTCAGCAGGGTGATAACATTTCACCAAAACTCTTCAGTGCCACCCTCAAGAACGTCATGCGACGACTGGAATGGGAAGGAATGGGAGTGAAGATAGATGGTCGGCAACTACACCACCTCCGCTTTGCTGATGACATTGTTTTAATAACACCAAACATCAGCCAACTGGCACAAATGCTGGCCGACTTCGACCGTGAGTGTGGAAAGGTCGGTCTACAGCTGAATCTTACGAAGACAATGTTTATGAGAAACAGCCTTGTTCCTGACGCCCCATTCGCTCTCAATGGAACGACCATCTCCGAATGCAACAGCTATGTGTACCTAGGTCGAGAAGTCAACATGACAAATGACCTGGCATCCGAGCTGCGCAGGAGGAAGAGAGCGGCTTGGAACGCCTTCAAGAGCATCAAAGAAATACTAAGAGGACGAAGAACCTCCGGCTCTGGGCACATCTCTTTGATTCCACTGTTCTTCCTGCATTAACATATGCCTCAGAGACCTGGGCCCTATGCAAACAGGATGAGAACGCTATTCGAGTCTCCCAAAGAGGAAGTGAAAGAGCTATGCTTGGAATATCACGTTTCACTCAAATGAGAGAAAGAATCCGGAGTTCCAACCTCCGTCGACAATCAAGAATCAGGGACGCTGTCTCATTTGCCAAGGTGTCAAAAATCAGATGGGCTGGTCACGTACTGAGATTTAAAGACGACCGCTGGACTAGAGCTGTTACCAACTGGATTCCATAGGATGTCAAAAGACCATGTGGCCGCCCACCTACCAGATGGTCATACTTCTTCATCAAGATCATGAATGATCGGTTTGAGGCTCTTCATGTTATTTGAGCGAACAGACGCCATTGGGCTACACTAGCACGCAACAGGGACAAATGGAGACGTTACTGGTGCCCGCTCAAGCAAATCGACGATTAACAGGAAGTCAAGTGATCAAATGATCTACTTTCGGCACACATTTTCCATCCTGACTGATTCCTCCAGCCATCATTTTCTTAGTGATTCCTTCTCTATTCCATCTATCGTCTCCCCTCCACTCATGAGGCAGGCTTCCAGCTATGGGGCAATTCTCCTGGCCCTTGTGTTTACTGTCCTTGGGTGTCAGCCTCATGTTATGTTATTCTATACTCCACAAATGAGTGCAGTCCTTCTATATCTGTCCCTCTCTTTCTTTTCTTTTTATTAAAATCAGTTATTTTATTGAAGGAGAGAAGTTACTCCAGTGTTCCCTGGTGGAGGGAAAGGGGGGAAGTGGGAAGTCAAGTATGCTGGAGAGAACTAAAGGCTTTACCAACACTGTCAGAATCCAGGCTTTTCTGGATCTTTCCATGGCTTGTGTCTACAAATCAGCAAAGTGTTCTGGAGACCAAATGAGAGGATTCTTTCAGCTGTCAACCTAGAGGCTTTAGGTCTTCTTTCAGCCAAGGCATCCAGTGAAAATACAATTTATTTGTCAGAATCCTCTGAAGAAATAGTCTCTTTTGCATCGCATTACCATGCTCCCTGCTCTTGATCCTCTTTTCCATGTACTCTTTCTTCAAGCATTTTCTCATCTCTCGATCAAGATCATTGCAATCACCAAAAAATTTCAGAAAGCTGTGATTTTTGTGACATTCCTCAAGCAAGTTTATCAAGGTGTTGCACTCTTCAGTGTGCAAGTGTGGAGATAAGTCGGGATGCATCCTTAGGAGGAGGTGATGGAGCCCAGCAGAAAAACCCGGACGCCGGCCCCGCCGGGCACGTGTCCCTCTCTTTCTGACTTATTTCACTTAGTATGATATTCTCCATGTCTATCCACTTATAAGCACTTTCATGACTAAATCTCTCCTAACAGCTGTATAGTATTCCATTGTGTAGATGTTCCAAAGTTTCTTTAACAAGTCATTTGTTCATCTCCTTTTAAAGCTTTTTTCAAATCCTTTATAGTATAGGATGAAAAAACATACATATACATCTATAAATATATATGTATCTGTATACATCGATTTGCTCGAGCGGGCCCAGTAACGTCTCCATTGGAGATTTTGTTGTTACTGTGTTTGGCTGGAGCGATAGCACAGCGGTAGGGCATTTGCCTTGCATGCAGCCAACATGGCCGACCCGAGTTCGATTCCTCTGCCCCTCTTGGAGAGCCCGGCAAGCTACCGAGAGTATCTGGCCCGCACAGCAGAGCCTGGCAAGCTTCCCGTGACGTATTCAATATGCCAAACACAGTAACAACAAAGTCTCCAATGGAGACGTTACTGGGCCCGCTCGAGCAAATCGATGATCAACGGGAGGGCCTTTACTTTTACTTTACTGTATATATATATGTATATAGATATATATTTGTACACATAAATTGAATGAAGTCTTCCTAATTGTTGTAGTTTTTAGCTAAGCAGTGACTGAGAGACAAATGTGACTATTCGTCTGAGGAACGACAGGAGATTCTGTTCAACAGTCAAGGGCCAACAGAGTAACTGGCACCCAAAATCCAGGACCAGTCCTGACAGCTCAGGGGATTTGCTGAGAATTGAACCTGGGTCATGCACGTGCAAGGCCAGAGCCCCCAGTGCCTGGAGCTGCCATTTGAAAGAGGGAGCTGCACTTAGGCAACACCTCTAAGTTGTGTTTGTCTCAGTGCAGGGGCTGCCTCAAGTATAATGAGGGCACAGGCCATGAGGTGGCCATGCTTTTTTGTCCTTTTTTGGTAATGGAATAAGGGTATTCAAAGAAGCCAACTGTTTTCTTCAAACTCAGAGTCCTGGAGCGCAACTGCTTTCCCTGCCACAGTGCCTTGACAAGGCTCTTTTGAGGTCAAAGTCAAATGATGTCTATTCTCTGGATTCCCCAGTTCTTGAGAGCAAATATGTTGAAATAGGAAGTATCAAGGCCAGAGCAATAGTACAGTGGGGAAGGGCTCCTACTTTACATTCAACAGACCCTGGGATTAGACCTGGCATGACGTATGGTCTCCCAGACACCTCCAGGATTAATCCCTGACCACAGAGCTAGGAGTAAGCCCTGAACATCTTCAGGTGTGGCTCAAAAACCAGAAAAGGACAGGAAGAAAGAGAAAAACTAAGAAAGAGAAAAACAAAATATGTCAGAATTCAACTCTTGAGATAGACAAAGAAACTGAGGCTCAGGGCTGCTGTGACATGGGGATGGACACAGAGAGTGGCACTCTGGGGGCTAGATCTCAGGTCTCCTCACCCTGAGCCCAGAGTCAAAGTTATTCCTGCTCCTCTTTTATTTTTAGCACTTACAGGCACAGTTTCCCCATTTTTCCCACAGCTTGTTCACAAATGCATTGCTTTGCTGCCTGAATTGGAATATCCTGCAGGCAGGATCTTTGAAATATGGCATATGGCATTTCTCCCTGGCCTCATCGCAAAAATTATGTCCTTGGATTTTTGATGATTTTTTGAACTGCTAAAGTACCCCTTTCACAATGCTCTGCGGACTCCGCTGCCACATTCGAAGCCTTATGTGAATGAGTCATGGCCAGAAGTTTTAAATTACAATGCTAAATTCAGGGGCCAAAGTGGTAGCACAGGTTAAAGTGGTTGGTGACTTTGCACATTTATGACCAATCCCAACTCCAGTCCTCTGTTTTCACATGTGGTCCCTCAAAGTGTTTACAATTTTCCTGAATATTCTCCAACAGGACACTGTTCTAACCCTCAGATGTCTCAAATATCAAGTACAGATACCTTGCTTATAATGAGTGATCTTCAGCCTTGTCAAATGTCATCTTACTTTAAGTCCAAAAGTGGGGCCCCAAGGGGTGACAGGACTTACATCAGGACTAGTGCTGGGGGATTTGGGATTCTGGACTAGTTTGAAGACCTGTTGATTGATCCCTCTGTTCAGCACCAAGTGATGCCTTTGTTTCAATTTTAGCCCGTCTAATTCACCAAAATCTGGCCTGCGCAATAGAGAAAAGATTTATGTGAATGTCATACACATTTTCAAGGAAAACACCTCGGTAACAGAAGAACAAGTAACTGAAAAAGTTAAAAATGCATCTGTTGGTCAAGACATATTTACAGACTATAACAGTAAGTATTAAACCATTTTTCCAGGCTTACCTACTATTCTGTAAAGTCCTCCATCCCATGTGAGCAGAGATTATAAAAGGAGTGAATAACCAAAATTTACAGATGTCTTCAAAATTTCTTCTTCCCTTTCCTCTCTCGCTGGAATTTCCCTCCTTCCCAACCATCAACTCAGAATCAAATTGACAGTTTGTTCCACCATCTAGAGAGGTAATCTGGGAAGAGAGTCTGTGCAGGGAATGATGAAGGAAGCAGAATTGTAGGACCCACACCAAGCTATAGCTTTACACATGAGTATAGAAAACTTTACCTTTAGGGTTCTCTATGTTTTTATACACAAACCCAGAGAGGAGGAGGCATATTTTGGGGTGGGCCATGTCACAAATTACCTCCAAACATGTGGCTTTCCAACCATCAATGTATTGTGATCCCATCTGTGGACCAGAATTTGGACTGGGCTCAGCCAGGTAATCCTGATGGTCTAGTTTAAGGTGCACTCTACTGGGGTCAATGGAGCTCTGGCCTGGGTTCTGGGTGAGCCAACTGGGGCTGACTGATCCCAAGAAGGACAGTTGGACGGTTCCTCTCTGCTCCACATGGCCCTGCATGATCCAGAATGCTAGGGCAAAAGGGTTACCTAGAGTGAAAGACAGGGATTTTTGATTCACAGGTATTTCTTAGGTATACTTATGTGACATCCAACATGAATCCTGATGGTCAAACAGTTCATAGGCTCAACAGCAGTACCACAGGACCCTGGGTACATGGGGACATGAAAAAATGGGCTGTTACTACTATTGCCCTCTCCAACACTCAGCAGACCTGCTTCATCTCTCACACGACCTGGCAGGTTCAGCCCTGGAGGAGCTTAATGCAGCTGGTCCCCAGGCACCAGAACTGTCCTACTGTCGGAGATAGTATATTGGACTTTTTGGTGGTATTTGACACCAGTTTCCTTCTCTTCCCTTCTTTTTAATTTTTTGTATATTTGTTTGGGCGACAGTCTGTGGTGCCACACTCTTGGAGGGAGTGGGGACCCACCTCATATGCTGCAAGGATCTTGCAGGGCAGGCATCCTACCTGCTGATAAACCTCGGACCCATCCATTCACTCCTGACAGCCTCTTCCTTCCAGGACTCCACCCTGAGAATGCTCAGCCCTTTCCACCTCCTCAGGCTTTTTCCCCCTTTCAGGACTCCTCCTTTGCACTCTTAAATGTCTATTTGAAATATTCATGACTCCTGATCTACTTGCACAAAAATCATTCTTCTTTTGAAAGTATAGATAAATTTTGTTTGTTCATAATTTTCAAACAACTTTTATCTTCATGATTTTACTAAATTCTGTGTTTGCACAAAACCTGGGATCAAACATTCTGGGATCCAACACTTGATCCAGAATGGCTGAGGGGGTTCTCCATAGAACACCCCGCTTTACAGAAAGTTGTCGACTCCTCTCTTACATTTTGTCAAATATTCATGAAAAAAATAAGAGGTGTCAGTGATGAATGTCCCTAATTTTGAGGCAAACATGGGAACTTGAGCTTGAGGAATCAAAAAGGAATAACAGTGATCCAAAGATGTCTGCCCAGAGCCCCAGCTGCAGCAGCCATGGTCTGAGGACAAAGTTATTGGGAGCAGAAGCTGCTTCCTTCATTTCCCAAAACCTGATGCAGAACAAATTTCATCAAACTATCAGTAAAGGCTAAGTAGGAAATATTTTTGATTTTTATAACAAAAGGTTTTAGTTACCACTAGCCTACACACTCTAATTGACATTTATATATGGAATCATATATAAATAAATATATTTGGCTTTATACCAACAAATCTGTATCTACAAAAACAGAAGACAGTTCTCAAAGCACTTCCGAGACTAATCACTGAGCAAAGAGCCAGGTTTACACCATGAACAATACTTAGTTTTCCCAAAACCAGAGCAAACAAACAAAAAGAAAAAGAAAGCAACAAGAGCACTCCCAGACTGGCTACAAGAACAGCCAAGCAGAGAGCTTCTGTCTCTGTCTGGGAGCACCTGACAGGCCAGGTCAGGAAGAACAAGGCCCAAAAGTCTGGGGGTCTGTGTCCCTTCCCTTTCCTTGTTCCAGAGTATGTTGGCATGTGGACCAAATGACAGATGTCCAACTCCTGAAAGTGTGCAGTGATTGGGCCTGAGCACTAGTACAGCACATAGGCCCTTTTCATTGCACGAGGCCCTCCTGGTTTGATGTCCTATTGTCCTATTCCAAATATTCCCCTAAGATGTAGCAGAGTTGATCTTTGAACACCAAGCCAGGAAAAAGTCCTGAGCACATTCAGTTTATTTCTTATACGAAAAGAAAACCAAAGGAAAATTAAGGAAATACAAAATAATTCGGTTCTCAGGGACAGTGAAGGAGCTCCATAATCTACCAGGGATCCCACGAGCAGGCAGGCCTTAGTTGCTGGTCCCAATTTGCTATCTCCAGCAACTGCTTTCTCCCACACTCCAAAGTCTCCTCTGTGGGGCTGGAGAGATAACACAGCAGGTAGGGCGTTTGCCTTGCACACAGCCAACCCGGGTTCGATTCCCGGCATCCCATATGATCCTCTGAGCACCGCCAGGGGTAATTCCTGAGTGCAGAGCCAGGAGTAACCCCTGTGCATCGCCAGGTGTGACCCAAAAAAACAAAACAAAACAAAACAAAGAACCCAAAGTCTCCTCTATGCCTCTGGTCAGAGCCCATTGGCTCAAGACTGAGCCTCACAGAGAAGTTATCGTACTGAGAGCTCAGGTACACAATGAGTCCCAGTGGTTGAAATCTCTAGATTTTTCAGAGTCAGAATGGGCTACCTCCCCCCACCTCCCTGTACTTCCTGAAGCCCTGACAGTCACATCCACACCCCAAAGTCACTGCCCAGTAAAAAATCTAACTCCAGCTGTGTTGCACAGTAAAATATTCTGGATTTTCTGGAGCACTAGGCCGGGCATGCAACATCTCCAAACTCTACCAGACTGATAATCCAGTAGCAGATACCAGATTGCTTGGATGTAACATAGAAGCCAAATAATCTCAACTAACAAAAACATTTACACAGAAGGATTACCTTGTAATAACATTTTAGTAATCCTTCATCATTCATCATTCATTCATCATCCTGTTATTCGTCGATTGCCTCGAGCAGGCCCCAGTAACGTCTCTTTCATCCTAGCCCTGAGATTCTATTCAAGGCTTTTTAGGAGAATGAGACCCATCATTGTTACTGGTATTTGGCATATTTGGTGCGCCACGGGGAGTTTGCCAGACTCTGCCCTGTGGGCAGACTATATTCGATAGCCTGCAAGTTTGTCCAGAGTAGGAATGAGATAATAAGATATCATAAAAAGATGTTCTGATAAGATGTCGCGCGGCCGCGAATGCGGCCCTGCGGTTCCGGGAGCTGCATTTTGTAGTCTCTGAGTCTTGGCCGTTGATGGGATTACACAGCGCCAGGGGGCCAGGTGGTGGGTGTGACCCCAGCCTACTGGAATTTGGAGGAACTGGGTGGAGGATGCTCGACTCCAATTCGAGTAGGCTTGGAGATCTCGGCCCCGGAACCCGCGTGGCTTTGTCCCTCTGCCAGTACCTTCATGTGTGCGGAGAGTGGTCTCAGCATGGTGGTGGCTGGTCCTGGAGGTCTTCGGCTGCCGGAGCCCTGGTCGGGGTGGAGAGGAAAGCTCAACCCGCTCCCCTCCAAGGGACCCCAGCGAGGAACAGCCAGGCGCAGGGGCAGGAGACTGACTGCACTGGTCTCGTCCGGGAGCTGCCTTTTGTAGTCTCTGAATCTTGGCCGTTGATGGGATTACACGGCGCCAGGGGGCCAGGTGGTGGGTGTGACCCCAGCCTACTGGAATTTGGAGGATCTGGGTGGAGGATGCTCGACTCCAATTCGAGTAGGCTTGGAGATCTCGGCCCCGGAACCCGCGTGGCTTTGTCCCTCTGCCAGTACCTTCATGTGTGCGGAGAGTGGTCTCAGCATGGTGGTGGCTGGTCCTGGAGGTCTTCGGCTGCCGGATCCCTGGTCGGGGTGGGGAGGAAAGCTCAACCCGCTCCCCTCCAAGGGACCCCAGCGAGGAACAGCCAGGCGCAGGGGCAGGAGACTGACTGCACTGGTCTCGTCCGGGAGCTGCCTTTTGTAGTCTCTGAGTCTTGGCCGTTGATGGGATTACACGGCGCCAGGGGGCCAGGTGGTGGGTGTGACCCCAG